TCAGGAGCTTAAAGCTCTCGGATTAGGGTGTTCAGGGCTTCTAGGACTTCAGGGTTTTGAGTTGGTTGCAATCAGCGGCATGGTACATATATATATATATATATATGCACAATGTACATACACTACTACTATTTTCTATACTACCACCACTACCACTACTATTATTATTACTATTACTACTACTACTACTACTACTACTACTACTACTACTACTTCTCCTACTGCTACTACTACTGCTACTACTACTAGCTTGCCCCTGCTGGCTTGGGGGGCGGGCCCATGGAGATTCAGGTGATGCCGGTTGCTTGCTCTGCCGCGCATAGGGCCATGACGTTTTCGGAGCCCTACGCCCCGTTTGCGTCTTAACCCCTTCTCGGGGTGGAGACAACGCGGATGCCCGTGCTTTTGCCAAGGGGCGACTCTCACTCACTCACTACTATTATTATTATTATTACTACTACTTCTTCTACTGCTACTATTACTACTACTACTACTACTATTATTATTATTGCTACTACTTCTTCTACTGCTACTACTACTATTATAATGATTATTACTACTACTACTACTACTACTACTACCACTACTACTACTACTACTACTACTACTACTACTTACTACTGCTACTGCTACTGCTACTACTACTACTACTACTACTACTGCTACTACTACTACTACTACTACTACTACTACTACTATTACTACTGCCGAGCATTTGTATATAATACTATGCAGCCGTCCGCGAGGTTTGAATGTCTTCTTCATGTCCCTGGTCTTCCCGTATGGGGCAAAGGCCCGGAAGCATGATCGCTGGGACATGGCCCGTTTGTATCTGCGCCGTGTGCGCAGGAACCTGTGCGTCTTTGTTTGCGTGTGTGCATGGGTGTGTGTGTGTGTGGCAACCCTGTGTCCAAGGGTGTTCACGTCCGCAGTTATATTTCAGCAGGGGCACCAGGGATGTGTGGCTTGGCCTGGTGCAACGAAGCTCCAGTCACATATCAGGATATAATCGGGGGACGAGCACGTACCTGCATATTGCTTGTGACATCGTCTACAGAAATCGCTGTGCACTGGTTGTCGTGGATATTCTACTTGGATGTCCGGTCGTCACTGGATATGGCAGGGGCTCAGCCAAGAACCCCATCTTGCAGCAGCTTTGCATTGCCTTTCTCGATGGTGCGTTGGGGTTCAGGCCTGTTGTGGTTTAGGCAGGTTGCCCAGGTCCAGGCAGGGTTACTTCATGCTGTTCTTCTTCGACATTCCTGTCCACGTGCTGACACGTCAATAGTTACCAGTGTGTGGACACTCGAGTCCTGGGCACTGGTTGGCTTCCTTCGCATAAATCAAACCTGAATTTAACATACCGCGTGTAGTCCTACGGGACGGCGGTGTATGTCGTGGTGCTGCACTCAGATCCTCCAAGTCCGGAGGCACCAATTCACAGTGTCAGCGCTTAGCCTGCGGGGGCGCAGTTCAATGTCGAGCCTTTGTGCAGCCTCACGGCACTACCGCCTCTTATGGCCCCACAAAGCAAGGCTCCATGCCGACCCTAAGATGCGTCATGCGTACATAACCAAGGACTATGGCTGGCAGGCAGTTTATGACCCAAATTTCTAGTTGTTTTCGCGTTTTGGTTAGTGGACCCTTAGCTGCATCTTGCTTCCCTGTCTCACAGCCATGCCTCCCCTGAACCTTGGACCGTCTGCAAGCATGAGGTAACCAGCTCAAGCACATCTGATCTCTGTAGTTCAACTCCAAGCAAAGTCATACTCTCGAGCTCCACTCGCGAGGGCTCATCTGCAGGGTTTGATGGACATGGTACTCGAGTGTACCATGGTACCAGCGAAAGCTGATGTTCCCTTTGGAGGAAGCACTCAAGGATTCTGCGAGCAATCGACGATTTGGCGTTTCCAGATATAGCAACGTCGGGCACCCCGTTATTATCAACAAAAAAACTAACAGGGCATCCCTTAAGATCCTCGTGTGCACCGACTTCAACCAGAGCTTTGAGGGCATCCAACTACCCAGCAGCCTGCAGAGTTTGACGTTTGGCTACCAGTTCAACCAGAGCTTGCAGGGCTTCCAGCTACCCAGTGGCCTTCAGAGTTTAACGTTTGGCCACAAGTTCAAGAAAGCTTGGAGGGCATCCGCTCGCAGAGTTTGGCGTTTGGCCTGGAGAACAACCAGAACTTGGAGGACATCCTGCTGCTAAGGTTTAGGGTTTAGCGGTTTAGGCAGAGTGTGACGTTTGGCGACTTCAACCAGAGCTTTGAGGGCATCCAACTGCAGAGTTTGGTGCGGAGCTCAACCAGAACTTGGAGGACATCCTGCTAAGGTTTAGGGTTTAGCGGTTTAGGCAGAGTGTGACGTTTGGCGACGTCAACCAAAGCTTTGAGGGCATCCAACTGCCCAGCAGCCTGCAGAGTTTGACGTTTGGCTACAATTTCAACCAGAGCTTGCAGGGCTTCCAGCTGCCCAGTGGCCTTCAGAGTTTAACGTTGGGCCACAAGTTCAACAAGAGCTTGGGAGGGCATCCGCCTGCAGAGTTTGGCGTTTGGCGCGGAGTTTAACCAGAACTTGGAGGACATCCTGCTGCTAAGGTGTTTAGGGCTTAGGGTTTAGCGGTTTAGGCAGAGTGAGGCGTTTGGCGACTTCAACCAGAGCTTTGAGCGCATCCAACTACCCAGCAGTCTGCAGAGTTTGACGTTTGGCTACAATTTCAACCAGAGTTTGCAGAACTTCCAGCTACCCAGTGGCCTTCAGAGTTTAACGTTGGGCCACAAGTTCAACAAGAGCTTGGAGGGCATCCGACTGCCCAGCAGCCTGCAGAGTTTGACATTTGGCAGCGCCTTCAACCAGATCTTTGAGGGCATCCAACTACCCAGCAGCCCACAAGCTTTTTACCAAAGCCTGGATAGCTAGAGCTTTGAGGGCATCCAGCGCACCAGCAGCCTGCAGAGTGTGGAGGTTGGCTACCGGTTCAACGGAGCTTTGAGGGCCTCCAACTACCCAGCAGCCTGCAGAGTTTGATTGGCTTCGAGTTCAACCAGAGCTGGGAGGCCGTGCAACTACTTGGCAGTTTGCGAAGTTTTACTTCACGGAGTTCACGGAGTTCTCGTGTAGACACGTGGCGAGCAGTGTGGTTTGGCTTCCTCTGTGGCAAGCAATGCGACGAGTACGACAACTCTTTAAGGTGGCTACGACAACTTGTCCGACGGCTACGACAACTTCCCAAGCGTTAAGCACATCCCCAATCTCCACGTCGAGTTTGACTACACTCACAACAGCACCAGTACTACATGGACATCGTCTGCATCAACATCTTGGTCAAATACATCCTCAACATCCTTATGGAGCTCGACCACATCTGCCGCAGCCTCCTTTTACCGCAGTCTTTCCGCAGCCATTTGTGGCATGGTCACAACTTCAACCAGAGTTTCGAGGGCCTCCAACTGCCCAGCAGCCTGCAGCTACGGCGGGGTGCTCACTGTAAACAATGACCCCGCTACGGCGGTGTGTGTGTGTGTGTGGCAACCCTGTGTCCAAGGGTGTTCACGTCCGCAGTTATATTTCAGCAGGGGCACCAGGGATGTGTGGCTTGGCCTGGTGCAACGAAGCTCCAGTCACACATCAGGATATGGTCGGGGGACGCCTTGACCACGTACCTGCATATTGCTTGTGACATCGTCTACAGAAATTGCTGTGCACTGGTTATCGTGGATATTCTACTTGGATGTCCGGTCTTCACTGGATATGGCAGGGGCTCAGCCAAGAACCCCATCTTGAAGCAGCTTTGCATTGCCTTTCTCGATGGTGCGTTGGGGTTCAGGCCTGTTGTGGTTTAGGCAGGTTGCCCAGGTCCAGGCAGGGTTACTTCACGCTGTTCTTCTTCGACATTCCTGTCCACGTGCTGACACGTCAATAGTTACCAGTGTGTGGACACTCGAGTCCTGGGCACTGGTTGGCTTCCTTCGCATAAATCAAACCTGAATTTAACATACCGTGTGTGTGAGTGTGTGTGAGTGTGTGTCTCTGTGCGTGTGTGCGTGTGTGCACGGGCGTCTATGTGTGTGTTCAGGAAGTTTAGGCATGTTTTGACCTTCTGGCAAGAACATCGTGTCAATCTTAAACAAGAGTGCAATATACACATTGGTGTATAGTTAGTTAGTAGCTAGTATATGCACACGTGCACATACAATCACAGACACACGCACAGACAGACAAACACAAATACGCACACACACACACAGAGATTCACAGCACACGTGCACACACATCGAACAGCACATGCATGTTTTTAGCATCAGTGTATGTCTGCATTTATATGTATATACACATATGTATATACATAGAGCTGGGACACACACAGACACACAAACAGATACGCACATTACGAACAAGTGCCGCAGGAATACATTTGCATGCCTGTGCTTTTTTCACATATATATATATATACACATGATTCTTTGTGCATAGTATATCATATCATGTCACAGCTACATATTATTCACATATGTATGTATGTATGTATGTATGTATGTATGTATGTATATATATATATATACATATGCACACATCCAGGCAGACTGACTGTGTGTGTGTGTACGTATGTATGTATGTATGTATGTATGTATGTATGTATGTATGTATGTATGTAAGTGCGTATGTATGTATGTATGTATGTATGTATGTATGTATGTATGTATGTACTTAGGTGCGTACGTACGTATGTATGTATGCATGTATGTGTGTGTATGTATATGTAAATGTTATATGTATATGCATGTCTCCCGTGTGTATGTACGAACCCGTGTGCGTGTGTGTTAATTTATACCAGTGGTCGCATCATCCGAAGCTTGTTTGCCACTCATCCGTGGAATCAGCAGCTTTGGACACTAGCCTTAGTCTGAATTCGAGTCTTCACTAATCTTCGTATATAGCCTGTCATGTATACTGGGCAACTTACTCCCCGGTGCACACCCGGTCCCTGAGAGCCCCTTATGCTAGAACAGGCCCACGAGTGTACCGCAGCTGAAGCAGCTGCGGAAGAATGCATCGAAGGCACAGCCAGCCATTCACTTCACAACAATAGTTGTCGTCAGGGTGGTGGTGGTTGTGGTGGTGGTTGTGGTGGCGGCTGTGTTCTAGTAGGAGCACTGTCAGAAGTAGAAGAAGAAGTAGTCGTAGTTGTGGTGGCAGTAGTGGCCATCAGCAGGAGGAGGAAGAAGAGGAGGAGGAGGAGGCAGGAAGCGGAGTAGCAGTCGTTGACGTTGTGGCAGTAGCAAGCAGTGGTGGTAGTAGTAGTAGTAGTAGTAGTAGTAGTAGTAGTAGTAGTAGATTTAGAAG